AGTGTAGTAGAGACTGTCTTCAAACTGAGAAGTACTGAACAGGATGGAGAATTTTTGAACTAAGGAGTTTGCATATCATTGGTGGTTAGGTTTCTGACATAAGGGATTTTCCTTCCTTTTGTTAAATCTACTCATTGTTAAAATTAAAGAAATCTGATGTCATTAAAATGTAGGATGATTAGTAAAGCATTTGTTGAGTAGGTATAAAGTTACACAGCTTGCCTTCTAGACATTAGGATTCCTAGACATTGAAGTTCCCTCCTAGACTTTGAGATTCTGCTATCAGCCACTAAAGGGATGGGACTACCAGCGGTTAGATTCTTCTAAGTGCATTAGCACTGAGAACTGTATAATAAATCAAGTGTGTTTTTTCTATAAGCATATTATTTATTTAAAAGCATCATATAAATATTTAACTACATACTCTACAAATTAAATACTATATAATTAAAAACAGAAAATATAGAGCCAGATAAGAAGAAAGTTAAATGCAAATTAAACATTGTAGTTTCTTGCTACGTCAGTGTTACAATACTAATTTCCCTAATTATGTTTTTCCCTGCTTTAAGAATGAATCCATTACTTCTTTCTAGGAAATGCTTTCTGGCATTAAAAGTCCTAGGTGCTTGCCTGACCACTGTCTGTCAGCATAAGACACCTTTGATACTTGAGTATTTAAAAAATCCTTTATGGTACTTTCCAGCTTCTTGTTTGCAAACTTGGTACATATTATTGACCTTTCATTAATTGCTAGCCTGATGGAAGGCAGAAATAGCTCCTCTCTTATCTACATTCCCCTTATGTAACCAAAAGTAAACACTGTTAACATATCACTATTTCTTTTAGTATATGTATGTTGAGATCACAAATATAATTTTACATTCTGCTTTTTATACTTTTACATACTTTCATTAGCTTTGGAAACTCTTCCTAATAATATGTTTTACTTGTTTCATGATGTCCCACACGTGGATGTCACATACTTCTCGAATTTCAGGGATCACATCATTATCTGACTTGGGACAGCCTGACCTTCAACTCTGTTCTCAGGTAGATACCACATTCCAATCCAGATGACTGGCATGCTGTAGATGGGATATGCTAATAAGTTGAAGCTGTTTCTTTTTACCACTAAAAAGAGCACTGAATGTAAAAGATATATCAATATATATTTCTTGCATTGAATGTCATTTTACAGTTGCACGGTACTCACTATTTACTATTGATTTCACTTATTTTTAGTGATTAGTTTTATATTGGTTTTATGGTATAACACTTCTTTAAAAAATGGCATTTATTTATAACTTTACTGTTTTAACCTGAGTGTCACTTTTAATTGTGATTTGGCATGCTTAAGACTAAGTTGGCATTTAGGGAAATGGTTTTTCTTGGGTATCCTTATTTGAGTTGCTTAAGTAATTCCTGTTACTTTTCAAAGAATGTAGTCAAAATCCTCCAAAAAGAAAATAGATAGAACTTTATTCTGCAGTTGGCTTTGCTGTTTGTTGATAAAAATAGTTCAAGTAGAGATGGATTATACTGTCCCTTGCCACTTGGGCCTAGTTCTTTCTTGACATAGGGTGAGATGCTTAGAAAGACTTGCTTTTAACTTATGGTGTTTAAAGAAGAACACTCTGTGGGATTTTCCTGGTGGTCCAGTGGTTAAGAATCCCCCTTGCAATGCAGGAGACTCAGGGAACTAAGATCCCTCATGTCTTGGGTCAACTAAGCCCTGCACACTGCAACTAAGACCCGATGCAGCCAAATAAATAAATATTTAAAAAAAAAAGAGCACTCTGTATACTTGCAGAAGTGGCTCTACAAAGGACTGCTTTGAGGCTCATCTAGTCCTTGCCTGTGCCTAGAGGAGGTTACATGTGAATGTAGGATACCATTCAAATAATTACTACCAAACAGGTTTAGCTTAGGAAAGACTGACCTCAGTTGCTAACAATCTGGGTCAACGATGAGGAGGAATATTTTACTTCCCATGGTGATCTATTGACATCTAAGATTCAAATATGAATGGATTAATCCAGCCACTATGTATGGGCTTCAGTTGAATTTAGTATTTTAACTCTCTGAAAATGAAAACAATATCATTAGGAAAAAGGATCCTAAAAAAGGCAAAGACACTAAAGAGACTGATTATGTAAATAAAAAAATTTTTTAAAGTTTACTTTTACCTCTACATGAGCATGTACCAAATATAGATGATTTGGTACATCTTAGAGTAAGAGCCACATTCTTCTGTAGCTTTGTTATCTCAGGGACACTTCATGTCGGGGAAGAGAAGTTCTTCAGTTCATCCAGAAGTTGTTAATAAATCTGAATGCTCAAGGTTTCTAGAGTTTCAGTGCTCTTTGTAAAATTTTGGGATCAAAGCCCTAGGATTTAGGGTACTTAGTGTCTACATGCAGGATTTATGATGATGCTCTTTGATGGTTAAACTAGTAAGATCAATACAGAATGAATCAGAACACAAATATGCAGAGTCACTTGAGGAACCAGACTGGCTCTCAGGCCTGCACAATTTGACTGTAACCTATTGGCATTGTGTCAGTCAGAACAGGCCAGATGAACCTTGAGGAAGCATAGGAGATGGAGAGTCACTGAAGCAGAAGTTGGCAGTCACTTGGCCTCTGTAATGGCAGTTTCTTACAGTACAACAATAAATGGCCTTTTAATGACCACCTCCGTCTTGTGTGCATCTTGTTACCTTGAAATATCTTTCAGAACTGGTTTAGAAATAGAACAGGGGAATGGCCAACAGGTACATGAGAAAGTGCTCCACAAGACCAGTCATGAGGGAAATGCAAATCAAAACCAGAGTGTCATCTCACACCTGTTAGAAGGGCTAAAAGTCAAGAGACAACAAGTGTTGGTGAGGATGTGGAGATAAAGGGACCCTAGGGCATTGTTGGTGGGATTATAGACTGGGGCAACCACTCTGAAAAACTGTGTGGAGATCCCTCAGGATATTAAAGATAGAATTGGCATATGACCCAGCTGTTCTCCTTCTGAGTATATATATCCCAAGGAAACAAAATCACTATTTCTTAAAGATATCTGCATCCCCATTTTCATTGCAGTATTGTTTAAAATAGCCAAGACATGGAAACAACCTACTAACATGTTTCCTAACATGGAAACAAACACTGACAGATGAATTGATAAAGAAAATGCCACACAGACACACACATGGGAATATTATTCATAAGGAAATCTAGCCATTTTTAACAGCATGAGTGGTGGGCATTATGCTAAGTGAAATAAATCAGACAGAGAATGGTAAATAAGTATTATCTCACTTATATGTGAAATCCCCAAAACCCAAAGCCCATAGAAACAGAACAGATTGATTACTAGAGGCAGAGGATGAGGGAGTAGGGGAAATGGGTGAAATGGTCCAAAGGTACAAAGTTATAAGTCAGTTTTAGGGGCATAATATATAGCATGGTGACTGTAGTTAACAGTTCTGTATTGTGGTAATATATTTGAAACTTGCTAAAAGAGTAGATCTTAAAAGTTCTCATCACAAGGAACAAAAGTTATAACCATGAGGTGATAGATGTTCACTGAACTTATTGTGGTGATCATTTCAAAGTATATGCATATATAAAATCATTATGTTGTATGCCTTAAACTAATATAATGTTATATGTCAGTTATATCTTAGTAAAACTCAGTTGGGGGAGAAATAGATCAGAGGAGCCTGGTGACTCAAGTGTTTAATGACATAAGGTTAAAAAAACCTGATGTCTCCCCATTTGAATAAATTCTTGATCTTAAGGGCTCTAGAGTAGATCAGAGTGAGATCCATCTGGCTTTTCCTTTTTAGATAATACTTCTGTACCAGACCTAGCTTCATTCGTTTTATTTTGTCTGCCATTACTCTATTCATCCACTTTTCAAAAATGGCTTAGAAAGTGTAGAAAATGTATGAGAAGTTAGTTTTGAGCACTGATTGAGTTAGAAAGGATTTCAATTCAGAACCCTCCTACCCTTGTAGCTATTTAAATGATACTAAAATGGTTATGGTAAAAGTCCCTTAAAGAAATTATAACCATCCCCAGGACTGTCCTTGAAGGGGAAAGAGTAGTGTTCTAACAAGATATGAAAAAACTAGGTAAAGTATATAGTGTAGCAGTTGGAGGCCCAAGAGGAGGAGTTTGATACCTCATCTCCTCATGTTTTCCTTATCCATTTGATTCTGTGCATCCAGTTCTTTTTATTCAGTTGCAGCCGGTTTTGAATTTTTATTGGGTAAGAATCTGTATTGAGAAAATGCTTGGAATCTGGGAGGAACCTTGAATACCATCTAGGGCAGCAATTTTTAGACTTTTCCACTGAAGTACTTCAGATGATCCAGGAGAATAAGCCAATAGTTGATTGACTGGGGGACGTGTCCTAAGTGGCTTAGTGCGAGCTTAGGACATTTTTGCCTCAATTTTAGCTTAAAAAATCATGGGAGAAAATCATGGGCCATTTTTATTCTTATCTGTAATATTTGTGTACAAATATATATACTTAGTACTGGAAATACAGTTAATAAAAAGTTGTTTTTTGACTTTTTGTTCAGGCAAAGGTTTCTGACTTTCAGCAAATGCCCTTCATCTCTTTATATAGTGCTCACATAATGTCATTGCCCAACTGAGCCACTGGGGAAGCCCAGAAATGGATCTTAATGGCTCACAAGCCAAGAAACACAGGGTATGGGCTACTTGTGTGAGGATAAAATGATAGTAGATGAAGACCACCTTACAGAGCACAATATGCTATGTAAATACAAGGGCTTTTTTTTTTTTTTAATTTTAAAATCTTAGTGTTCTTTACAGCTTCAGTCCTCTCAGAACTGGGTCTTACACCCAAGTAAAAAATTAATAGGGGAGAGAATGTTAGGATGCGGACAGGAGGCTTCTTATCTTAGACTTTCTGTGACACAGAATGATCGAGTACAACAAAGAAACTAACCATTGGTATAATTGATGGCCTTGCAGGAGGGAGCACTGGCAGTTGCTGGGTAATTTGAAGACTACTGTGGAGGGTTTAGTGTCAGCCAACAGCCCCAATGTCTGGTCCAAGTATGGTGGCCTGGAGCGGCTTTGCAGAGACATGCAGAGCATCCTCTATCATGGGCTCATCCATGACCAGGTATGTATACTGCTTCTTTTCTTTTTTTGCCAGATTGGCCAGATCCCTTGTTGAAAAGAAACATTTGCATTAAGTTGTTGGCAGAGAGAAGATGAAGGCAACTACCTGTGTGAGCCCTTGAGAACAGGACTGTGATATGATGATAATGAGGAGGAGAAGGACAATGTGGTGATAAATCATTAAGGTTTTCCTCTTAAGAGTATCCTAGGATATAGCTGAGAAATATTTACAGGATATTGTCGTTTATAGACTATCCTTTGAACATCATTTTGTAGATAACTGGTTGATGCTTATGAAAGATAGTTTTTAGTTATAGCTTATGTTTTTTTCTATATAAACTTTGTTGATGTTGAGTTTCTTTTCCTTATATCCTCAAACACTAATAAGCTTTGAGTATTAAAAATGAGTTAAATCTCAGTGGTTTCTGCTTCAATTCTCAATAGCTGTTACTCCATTTGCAGTTTTTAAATAAGGTTTGGTTCTGGGCAGAACTGTCAAGTGGGTCATTCGATCTGATCCTCCACTTTTTAAAAATCAGGCCTCATGTGTATGTGCATAATTTGTGTTCCCAAACACTCATGCTCTTCCCTAGTCAGGGCCTAGTCTTCTTTCCTGAAAGCTTTTTCTGAGCCCGGCTTGTCTTTCTTTTTTAATCAGAGTTTATTCTCAACTAGCAGTCACACTGGGAAAAAATGAATTGATATTAAGATATTCATAGTTGATAGGATTTATTGCACTACCCTCCCTTCCAAAATAGTGTGTATTACCTCTAAACAAACTCTTTAAACCAGTTTTCTAGTAGAGTTTCAGAATTCACTGGAAAAGTTGGCTTAGGTTAGATTCTCTTTATTCAGAGTAAGTTCTGAAAGTGAGGCCCTCTTTCTAAAGAATTTTGAAGATATGAGGACAATTTCTTTTTTTTTTTCCCATTTATTTTTATTAGTTGGAGGCTAATTATTTTACAATATTGTAGTGGTTTTTGCCATACATTGACATGAATCAGCCATGGATTTACATGTGTTCCCCATCCCGATCCCCCCTCCCTGAGGACAATTTTTATCCTTTAAAGAGCTGAATTCTTCTCAATGGTCATCATTATTAAAACCTCACTCAAGGAGTTTGGATGCGACATTGTGTAGTAGACCGACAGACATCTTCAGAATCAGACAGAACCTGGATTGAAATTGCTCAGGTCCTTGGGGAAAAAAATGACAGTAGTAATAATTATGGATCTCTGAGTTAGACTGCTCTTATTTTAATCTCAGTTTCAACACTGTGTGGTACTGAGTAAGTTACATGACTGTTAGTACTTCTGTTTCTTCGTTTCTAAAATGAGGTGGTTACACTGGTATGTACCTCATAGGGTTGCTGTGAGAATTAAATGAGATAATACCTGAAAAACTTTAGAAAGTGTAAAAAGTTGTCTGTCAGTCTTAACTGTTAGGTGATGTTATCTTTTTTGAGCTTTTTCTCATCTGTTGAAATGATGATAGTATTATTTATGTCATAATGTTTGATAGAAAGATTAAATGAAACAGCATACAAATTGGCCTAACAGTTTTTAATACATAGGAAGTAATTAATAAATGTTCCTTTCACTTTTTTTTTAAGTTTCAAGTTGCATGTTGTCCTGTGGAAAAAAAATGTGAACATTGGAATTTATAGAACAAATAATTTGACCCACCACAATCTTGCTCTGCCCTTACCACTGTTGTTCTTGCTACTGAAGTTTAAGTAAGTTCGTGTTACCAAATCCAGTGCACATCTTCCCTCTAAACACTGTCTTGTGTTCTTCACTGTTGAACATCATCAGGCCTTGACTCATGTTGCATTATTATCTTCCAGTCTCATAGAGACCTCCTCCTATCCCTGCAACCACTCTTTCTTAGTTTCTTTCCCTGGAATTTTCTTCCTCTCAGATTTTCAGTTCAGTTCAGTTGCTCAGTCGTGTCCAACTCTTTGCGAACCCATGGACTGCAGCATGCCAGGCTTCCCTGTCCATCACCAACTCCCAGAGCTTACTCAAACTCATGTCCATTGAGTCACTGATGCCATCCAGCCATCTCATTCCCTGTGGTTCCCTTCTCCTTCCACCTCCAGTCTTTCCCAGCATCAGGGTCTTTTCAGTGAGTCAGTTCTTTGCATCAGGTGACCTAAATATTGGAGTTTCAGCTTCAGCATCAGTCCTTCAAATGAATATTCAGGACTGATCTCCTTTAGGATGGACTGGTTGGATCTCCTTGCAGTCCAAAAGACTCTTCAAGAGTTTTCTCCAACACCACAGTTCAAAAGCATCAATTCTTTGGCACTCAGCTTTCTTTTTAGTCTAACTCTCACATCCATACATGACTACTAAAGTAATGTCTCTGCTTTTTAATATGCTGTCTAGGTTGGTCATAGCTTTTCTTCCAAGGAGCAAGCATCTTTTAATTTCATGGCTGCAGTCACCATCTTCAGTGATTTTGGAGCCCCCCAAAATAAAGTCTGTCACTGTTTCTATTGTTTCCCCATCTATTTGCCATGAACTGATGGGACTGGATGCCATTATCTTAGTTTTCTGAATGTTGAGTTTTAAGGCAACTTTTTCACTCTCCTCTTTCACCTTCATTAGGAGGCTCTTTAGTTCTTTGCTTTCTGCCATAAGGGTGGTGTAATCTGCATATCTGAGGTTATTGATATTTCTCCCAACAATCATGATTCCAGCTTTGCTTCATCCACCCCAGCATTTCTCGTGATGCACTCTGCATAGAAGTTAAATAAGCAGGGTGACAATATACAGCCTTGACGTACTCCTTTCCCGATTTGGAACCAGTCTGTTGTTCCATGTCCAGTTCTAACTGTTGCTTCTTGACCTACATACAGATTTTTTAGGAGGCAGGTCAGGTGGTCTGGTATTCCTATCTCTTTAAGAATTTTCAGTTTATTGTGATCCACACAGTCAAGGCTTTAGCGTAGTTAATACAGTGGAAGTAGATGTTTTTGTGGAACTCTCTTGCTTTTTTGATGACCCAGTGGATGTTGGCAATTTGATCTCTGGTTTCTCTGCCTTTTCTAAAACCAGCTTGAACATCTGGAAGTTCACAGTTCACGTACTGTTGAAGCCTGGCTTGGAGAATTTTGAGCGTTACTTTAGTTTTTAATAGAGTCCAGTCCGACATCCTTATCTCCTCTTACTTTGTACATTTTTCTGAAAGAGTCTCATTCACTTGCATTGTTTTAACTATCACCTGTACACTAACAATCCCCAGCTCAGACCTCTCTGCTGAATTTTAGATCCACAAGACTACCTATCTGCTGTACATTATCATCTGGCTGGCTGTCCTACAGGCCAAGCACAGCATGACCCAAAACAAACTTATCTTCTCTCATAAGATTGCCCTTCCTCCTGATATTTAAAATACTAGTCGGTGGCATTGCCACCTCCTCAGTCTCCCAAAGCCAGGGTTGGGAACTGCACCACCAGGTTTTATAGAAACCCAATACAGATTTCCCAGACTGAGGACCTACCAGATTAGAGGCACCATCATTTAGTCATTCACATACTTGCATCTTGATAGTAAAAAAGTTCTTTTCTTGGGTCTGTTACTAATTTTGCATCATCATCTGGAGTAATCATTTTACTGTAATCACAAGACAGTTTTACCATCTGTGCCAGAAAGAGAAAATGTGTCATGATGAAATAGTGAAGTGAAATTCCTGAGTGAAAGATACTTGGTAAATGCAACACAATGTTATTGTTATGAATAAGTAATAAGATCTGTGAAGGCACTTGGTCACCAGAATGAACACTATTATAGTGTATGGCACCTACAAAATAGCAATAATATTAGTCAGTGGAAGCAGGGCAAACCAGACAGCTCTATCACACACATACATTCAGCAACTACAGGCTCAAGTGAGAAGAATTAAATACAAAAGAGCCTTACCACCTTCACCGCTGCTCTGTTCTGCCTTGTAAAGATCTAAAAATTAAAGTCTGTGTCAAGGACTTGTTTTTTCCCTCTCATTTCCTCCCTAAAGATTAAGGCTTTCAAAGGCTTCTAGCTGCTGTGTCATCAGGAAGCTATTCTGGGTGTTGTGCCCTTGGAGGGGGAAGGGATACATGATTCACGCTGGGCATATCTCTTTTGTGCTTTCCTAGGGATGAGTTATGGAATGTGAACTGTGTTTTTTTTAATCGTTCCGGGCCTTAGGATGCTATAACATCATAACCCTATTCTTGAAGGGATCTCATTTTCCTTGACATCCTGCATCTGGACTACCTTTTAGTCTTTCCGCAAGGCACAGTGTATTTGATAACCCCTTTTCTGCTGCTTGGAAATGTGGAGATGCTTAACCCCCGAGATCTCTTAGCTGACTATAAGTGCAAAGATCCCCTCTTTTCCACCACTAAGAAGAAACCTGCAGTTGGCGATATAGATGTCCCAATTTAAAAATAACAACAATAATAGAAAAGACCTCTTGTGTATGTGTATGTATATATTTGGCTGTACTCTGCGGCATGTGGGATCTTAGTTCTCTGACCAGGAATCAAACCTGTGCCTCCTGCTTTGGGATCATGGACTTAACCATTGGACCACCAGGGAAGTCACTGTTTATTTCTTTTCTGAATATGTAAATAACATATGTGTTTTTATTTGCTGAAAATTTAAAAATTATCGAAGAGTTTAGAAGAAAGTAAGTTATTACCCTGTAGATAAGGGCAGTCCTGATCATAAATCCGACTGTATTTGCGCAGAACAGAGGAGTAATCCTGTCCCTTTCTGTCTTAAATCCTCATGCTTGCTTTTCTTCCTTACCAGTAACTGTCCTCTGTGTCATTTCCTCCCTTCTCCCCAGAATAGGGTACTTTCATCTTCATTAAAAACGTGTGGCAGATAGATATCTTTTCTCCTCAATTCTTTTATTTTTTTTTTCTTTCCTCCTCAATTATTTTCTTAACAGCGTCTATGAATTTGTCTGCTGCTTCTTGGTCAGCAGCAGCTGCTTCTCCAAACCTCTTTCTAAAAATTTTAAACCATCCTTTGCAGGCATTAAATTCTCTAGCTTTAGATCCTCCACCATTTTTGCTTTCAGTTGTCACATGATGACTTTGCTTTTTCTTGAATCATATTAGAGTCTTTAGGTATGTCTTCCCTATAGCAATCCTGTACCAACATAAAAGCTGAGTTTTCAATATGTGATTAAAGTTATTTCTCAAAAAGTACAAGATTTTTGTGCCTGCTGGAGTAGCTATAGCAACAGCTTCACAAATTTCCTTTTCTTTTTTTACCATAGTCCTTATACTGGATTCATTTATCTTGAAATCATGGGTAACTGCACCTGTAGGCCTCAATCTGTGGTGTAGATTCGACTTTTTCTTATAATGCCATGACTTTGCTTCTTGGAAGCACTCCCAACATTGCTAGTGGCACTTTGTCTGGGTCCCAGAGTGTTATTCACAATCTTTGCTATTACATTAAACACAATGGAAAATACATGAGAACTGGGAGAGGTCACTTTTTACTGCAGTATATATTTTACTGAAGAGCTGAATAGCTCGTACAGATATGATTAGTGTCACATGGCATTTTGAGTGGACACTTGCAACATTTGAGCTCACAACAATAACAGGAGGTGGCTGCAAAATTATTATAGTAGTATATAATTGCATAAAATTAACTGTGCAATTATGATTTGATGTTCTTCTATATGTTTGTTTACATTGCTCTTGACTGCAAATGGCACCATGTATGGCTCCTAAGTGTTTGTGTGTGTAAGTTTTCATAAACGTTAACTTTTTATAATAGGTGTGTATATATTTTATGGTAGTAAATTATAAAGTAGGCTAGCATTTACATATATTTTATGGATTCATGAGATATCTAACTTTCCTAATTTTTTTCAATTTTTCCAAGCTATGCAGTTCATCTATGAGTTGTTTTCAAATTGTTACAAACCTTCAAAATTTTTTTCCAATATATTTATTGAAAAAATTCCACATAGAAGAGGACCCACACAGTTCAAACCTGTGTTGTTCAAGGGGTCGACTGTATAACCTTCTATATCATATGCATATATTACCTCCTTAAAAGAACAATTAGAATAGTTTTTAACAATTGACCTTTAAAAGGGTGACTATCTGTATGTGTTCCTTTGACTGCTGTTGAGAACCTTTATTGTGGCAAGGGAAGGTTAGGCTTTTCTTTTTCCTCTCTTTGAATATGGATATAAGAACTGGATGTGGTCCAAAATGGTAATGATTTGTTTACCTTATGTGTTCCTGAAATAGGTGTGTTGCCGCCAGACTGATTACTGGCAGTTTGTGAAAGACATTCGCTGGCTCAGTCCCCACTCAGCCCTTCATGTGGAGAAGGTAAGAAGTAAAGGCAACCACAAGGCTTTATTGTTTGATGTTCTGTATGCAGAGTCTCCTAGGCTAGAGGGATGGCATATGGCAAGTTTCCTATTAACCAAGAAGAGGAAATTATCCCTGTCGGACTGATTTGGAAAGGAAGATGCTTTAAAAAATAAGCCTTGTACACTCCTTGCTCTAGGCCACTTTCCCTCCTCTAGGGAAGGGGTATAAAGTTTTGTTATTTTCAAAAGATTTGCAAATATGGGACCAGAATGAAGCTTCTCAGAATCCAGAGCAAATGGCAAGAAGTTTTCTGAATGGTTAGGGGTAAGTAGGACTGATATGTGGTAACCATTTAAGAAGAAGAGGATACACCAAATACAAAAAAATGTGAGGTTCCTGGAGACCAGTGTCAAATGGAACCTAACACATTCCCAACAACTTTAGCTTCTGTTGTAGCCCTCTACTCTCCTGTTCTCTCAGCTCAGTATAGTAGCCCTGGTTCCCAGCCAGGGACAGAGCTCCAGGAGGTTAGGTAACTTGGCCAGAGTTACAAGACTAGTTCCAGAGCAATCACTGCCAAATATATATGTTTATTTATTTAACCCTTGGTTGTAGAAATTTTCAAGCATAGTCAAAATTAGATTAGTGAAATGAGCCCAAAATATCCATCACCCATCTCCAGTACTTACTGATTCATGACCAGTCTTGTTTCATGTGTATCACACTTACTGCCAGGTTCATTGCTGAGGAGATGTCTGGGAAAGTACTTTATTTTTAAATGATCAGGGAACCAAATTACAGGGTGGTCACTCTGGCTATTTTTTCTGAGAAAAGACCAGAGCACAGTGATTTTCTTACATGGATTTTTTTTTTTTGGGTCCTTATCACTTTATTTTTCCCACCAAACCCCGTTCTCTTTCTTTTCTTAAATGTGTTTCTATAATCATTTCCTCTTAGAATCTACCTGAAAGTGCCATCCATACTTTTTTTTTTCCCCTCTGATTGTGGGCTATGAAACCTTGCTTGTAGAAATAGCCAGTAGGAGTATGTTTCAAATAGAGAATGCTGTGGTGAGAGCCAGAAAGAGGTGCTCAGGTGGTTTTTCTTTGGTAAAGAATCTTTGGGGGCATTTTTCCTAGATTTCTTACCCCAGGTTTTTCTTGCCTTCTTTTCTGGTTGTTGTTGTTCACTCACTAAGTCATGTCCAACTCTTTGTGACCCTATGGACTACAGCACACAGGCTTCCCTGTCCTTCACCATCTCCTGGAGCTTGCTCAAACTCATGTCCATTGAGTCAGTGATGCCATCCAACCATCTCATCCTCTCTCGTCCCCTTCTCCTCCCACCTTCAGTCTTTTCCAGCATCAGGGTCTTTTCCAATAAGTCAGTTCTTCCCATCAGATGGCCAAAGTATTGGCGCTTCAGCTTCAGCATCAGTCCTTTCAAAGAATATTCAGGACTGATTTCCTTTAGGATTCACTGGTTGGATCTCCTTGCAGTCCAAGAGACTCTCAAGAGTCTTCTCCAACACCACAGTTCAAAAGCATCAATTTTTCGGCACTCAGCTTTCTTTATTGTCCAACTCTCACATCCGTATATGACTACTGGAAAAACTATAGCTTTGACTAGACGGACCTTTGTTGGCCAAGTGATGTCTCTGCTTTTTAATATGATGTCTAGGTTGGTCATAACTTTTCTTCCAAGGAGCAAGCATCTTTTAATTTCATGGCTGCAGTCACCATCTACAGTGATTTTGGAGCCCAAGAAAATAAAGTCTGTTACTGTTTCCATTGTTTCCCCCATCTATTTGCCATTAAGTGATGGGACTGGATGCCATTATATTCATTTTTTGAATGTTGAGTTTTAAGTCAGCTTTCTTCCTCTCCTTTCTCACCTTCATCAAGAGGCTCTTTAGTTGTTCTTCACTTTCTGCCATAAGGGTGGTGTCATCTGCTTATCTGAGGTTATTGATATTTTTCCCAACCATCTTGATTCTAGCTTGTGCTTCATCCAGCCTGGCATGGTGCTCTGCATATAAGTTAAATAAGCAGGGTGACAGTGTGCAGCCTTAATGTACTCCTTTCCTAATTTGGAACCAGTCCATTGTTCCATGTCCAGTTCTAACTGTTGCTTCTTGACCTGCATACCTGAAATAGAAGACTCTATGAAAGAACCCAGGGTGTCAAGTTCATTTTTCCTCTGAATATCCCAGAATAGATGCCTCTTTGGAGTTAGAACATAAAGAGACAGATGTAGCAGCTTTGTCCTCTCCTGGAGCTGCATATTATATCTTAACTGCTTAGTCCCTTTCCAGTGGTCCACACCAGCAGCAGGGCCATTAATCTCTTCCCTACTTCTCCTTCCTCTACAACATCTAGATGCTAGCTGGAGGGCAAATACCTCTGATTAACTCCTCTGACCTTGCTCAGTTTAGTTTTCCTGTCATTAGCCTCAACCTCGTTGGATTGATCAGGATGTATATTTTGACTCATGCTTCTTTGCTCCCAGTTTATCAACTTGCATGAGAACGGCCAGAGCAGCCCGGATGGCGTGAGTGAGCGTGCCGTGGCTGAGCTGTGGCTGCAGCACAGCCTGCAGTGCCACTGCCTCTCAGCCCAGCTCCGACCTCTGCTGGGGGACAGACAGTACATCAGAAAATTCTACACAGGTAGGTAGAGGTCACCTCTCCAGGGTTGCTACATGGACTTCCTCATTCTCCTCCACTTTACTCTTCTTTATAGACCCACTCTTACCCTGGGGTCACATACTTTTACTTGATTTCACAGAGATTCTAATCAGAAACATGTATCCAGTCTTCTCTCTAACGTCTTGTGTAAAACACAGTCACGCTTTATGCTAAGGTATTTCCCCACTCTTATACACACAGATCAATAAGAATAACTTACTATCGGGGGGTAGGAAGGGAGAATGGGGACTCAGAGTGTCTTAATGTGGACAGAGTTTCAGTTTAGGAAGGTGATGGGGAGAGAGATGATGGTGAGAGTTGCACAACAATGTGAATGTACTTAGTGTCACTGGCCTGTATAGTTAAACATGGTTAAATAGTAAGTTTTATATTATGTGGCTTTTACCACAATAGACAGCATTAATAAAAGAATCTATACTATTTACTGAGAGTTTTCTATGTTCTAGTCAGTGTTATCTATATTTTATACATACATACCTAACAGTAACTCTGAGAGTTGGGTATTAATACCCCTATTTTCTAATCAGAAAAGCAGAGCTCAAAGGAGGTCAGGTGATTGGCCAGAGTCACCCAAAGCCAGAGATTACATCTGGGTCTTTCTGATTTTTGCAGCCTCTTGTCATAGCCTCTTTGCTATCCTGCACATGACCTAGCCTCTTCTGTACTTTATTTGTCCCTGGTTTCCCTCTATCCACAGCGATATGATTCTCCTTATCTTTGCCTTTTCCCTCTCTCCTTCCCTGACCTTCTCCCGGGGCCATATAGGGAGGCTGAAATTCTCCCTAAGGGGCTCCGTCACTGCAGCAGTTTTTTCTCCCCAGATACTGCTTTCCTGCTAAGTGACGCCCACGTCACGGCCATGCTTCAGTGCCTGGAAGCAGTGGAACAGAACAACCCTCGCCTGCTGGCTCAGATTGATGCTTCTATGGTAAAGGGGGAAAGGAATTATCTGTGTCTGTTTTCTGGCCTCCTACACCTCACCATGATGCAACCCTGTGTAGCAAACTACTTCACTTAGGCAATTATGAACTGAAAGGCTCTCATTAAAAACAAACAGAAAACTTAGAAAAAGGAGAGGCGGTACCATTAAGTATCTGTTGAAGTAAAAAGCCTATTTGTAAGTAAACTTAAGTCTATTTGCGGAGGGAGTTGTCTGTTTTCTTTTTTTTTAATCCTTAAAAAAATCTTTAGTTTGAGTAAGCACCTCCTGAAGGGCAGGCTTGATAAAATGGCGGAGGGATGATTGTGAATCAAGCTGACTGTAGATAGAGCATCAGATGTAGTGTGGCCTAATGTTACGTAGGATCATTTTTTCCAAGGAAATTTTGTTATTTTGTGTTGCTTATTTTTCATTCTCCAGGTCACTCATCCCATCACTAATATCAGTGCCTCAGCTAGAATGGAATCACAAGCCCTCTTTCTTTTGTGGAGGGATCCCCTATCTCTCCTGGTTTTAAAATTTTGATTCTTGCTTGCCACCTATGGAATATTCTCTACATGCCAGTCATGGTGCTATGCACAATGCATGTATCATCTCATTTAATCCTCACAACTCTGTAAAGTAGACATTAATCTCATTTTATAAAGGAGGCAAAAAAAATAAAATAAAGGAGGCCACTGAGGGACAGAGTAGATAAATCATTTGCCCAGAGTTTGGACCAAATAACTTGTGATAGGGCCTGGCTTTGAGCCCCAGTGTATCTGACTTCTGACTCCTCGTGCATAGACTTAAGCCCTTTGCTGTATTGCCTTCACGGTAAAGCACTCCTGGTCTAATCACCGAGGATTCCAGCTGCAGAAGCCATGATGTTTGCCAGGACTTTGAGCTTTCAAAGTTGTGTGCTGTGGTAGAGGGTACCTGTGCTGTCTCTACAGGCCCTGGCTGCAGTTCAGTTTCTGCCAGTGTTTCTATAATACTGTGCCCTTCCTCTGAGGGCCACTATCCTTGATTCTGACACTTTTTTTTTTTTTTTTATAGTTTGCCAGAAAGCATGAGAGCCCACTCCTGGTGACAAAGAGCCAGAGCCTGACAGCTCTGCCTGGTTCCGCATACACCCCTTCAACCAACAGTGCTCAGCATTCCTACTTTGGGTCCTTCTCCAGTCTCCACCACCTCCCCCACCACAGCTTAGGTATGGGAGCAGTGAGGGATTGTGAAGACATATATCTCCAACCTTGGAAAACGGAGGACATAGTGGTTGCTCACCCACTGGCTATGATAGAGCCTCTGGTCAGTGCAGTTTGTCACACTTCATGTCTCAGTATGGAAGTCTTAAAGAGGAATATAGCAACTAGCCTAAGATAATTCCGTAGAATCATTAAAGTAACAGAGGAAAGAGATGTTTTTAGTTTCCCCTGGGTTTCTAATCCACATCGCCAAGAAGGCATTTCAATAATAATAGCTAACATTTCTTCAGTGCCTGCCACATGTCAGGCTCTGTTGTCATCAATTTGTTTATATTATCTCATTTAATCCTCAAAACAGTCCTACGAGGTGGGTGTTATTATTATTGCTCATTGAGCATTATTATTGCTCATGGGGAATGCATACTGGTAAGCAAAGAAGCCACTGTCTCAAGAGTTCATGCTTTTGGCCTAGCTGCTTCTCAGTAAATTTTACTTACTTTGAATGACTTAACCTTTTCTGAGGTGACATCATATGTCCTGGGCATCCCCATTTAGGGAGTTCAGTCCTTAGCTTCGGAGTTCATACATGCCAGCTCAAAAGCTCCCAGCTCACCTTTCCCTTCCCTTTCTTTTCATATCCTAGAAAGAAGATCTACTTCCTTTTCACTCTCTGGCCCACCCCGAAAACCTCAAGAAACCAGAGGGCATGTCTCAGCAGCAGAGGATCAAACTGTCCTAGACCCTCTGCTTCCAATCACTGCATTAGCCAAGGACTCCCCCACGACCCCCAATGAGATGAGCTCCAGCACTCTGACCAGCCCCTTGGAAGCATCCTGGGTCAGCAGCCAGAATGACTCCCCGAGTGATGCCAGCGAGGGGCCTGAGTACCTGGCCATCGGCAACCAGGACCCCCGGGGCCGGACCGCCAGCTGTCAGAGTCACAGCAGCAATACCGACAGCAGCAGCTCCAATTTGTTCTCCTCCAGCAGCTCCCAGAAGCCAGAGTCTGCTGCTGCTTCTCTAGGGGACCAGGAGGGAGGTGGGCAGAGCCAGTTGTCCAGTATCCTTCGCAGATCTAGCTTCTCAGAGGGGCAAACGCTCACTGTCACCGGAGGAACAAAGAAGAGCCATACTCGCTCCCATTCGGACACCAACATTGCCTCCAGAGGAGGCCCAGGTAATGATAACCACCAACCGCGTGTCAGTAAGGCGGCCTCCGAAATTTCCAGTGGAAGGGAGATTTTTTCTTAAGGGTCTTCAAGTGGCAGGAAGAGAAGTTATTTTTCTGAAGATTATAAAGAGTATCCTGCTTGTAGTGGAAAAGAGAAGTTTTTAATATAATGTGGATACCTAAATCCAAAATCTCTCTGGGGATACTTACGTTTGTTCCTTTATACATTGCTAAATAGTAAGTGTTTTCTTGGATTCTTTCATAATTTTTTAGCATCAGAGGATAGTGTGACTAATCACAGTCTAAGTTTTAAATGTGTCTCTCAGACAGAGGGGAAGTACTAATGAGCTTTAAAAATAATCCTGTTAAATTCTTTCCCTGAGAAGTTTGGTCAGAATATAATAACAATAAGAGAGAGGCAAAATGATACTAGGATTCCCTGATTAACACTAGAGATGTAGTGAGTGTTGGGTGATGGGACCTAGTAAACAAGTAGGTGGGCTGACCGCTGCATCAGTAATTGAGGCTGAAAGGCAGTCGGGTAAGGAGGCCTTGGCTCCTGGGACCACCCTCACACAAATACCAGCTGGTAGCAGAGAGCACCCCAGGCACGGCCAAGGTGGGTGTCGCTGCTTTTGCTGTTTCCCTGCCACATCTTTCCTAGGTTGTTTGTGTCTGGCAGTCTTTGGTTGGGTTTCATTTGTAAGAACATCTCCATAAAAGCAAGTGGAACATGGACCTTGGTGCTCAAATCCAGTTCTGGGTGGAAAAGCTTTGGAAATAAAATATCAAAATAAAGCAGAAAAATTAAGAGCATAAAAGGAAGATATTCTTTACAACTAGAGCTGCTGTTGATTTCTGGTTTATAATTTCTAAAAGGTGAGAGCTAAGGCCCTCATCTGAAACTTCTGAATTGCAAACTTTCGTCTCTGTTTTCCCCTCAAGAATGTGGGTTGGCTCATTGGAACTGGTTCAGAAACCAAGAAACCTCCAATTCAAAGTCTGTCTTCCCACTAGCCTTCTTAGATGTGAAGAGTGCACAGGTTAGACCCTTACTTTGCATCTCCTGGAGCAGATGTGGTGTCTGCTGTACTCCAGGTTGCTGGCCTTTGAGCATGTAAAACTCCCCTCTCCCCATTCTTGAATCTATGTGGATTCCAGAAACCACAGTAACCTGCATTGGAAAAGGGAGCCAGAGAAAACCTAAGCAGAAGGGTCTGAGGGAGTATGGGTCCTGTGCAGCTTCTCATATGTGTCATCCCTCCATCTGTACTATAGGGTTCCCTTGCAGGAGTTACACCTCCACCTTTGCTGGATAAAAAGACACTCTTTTTCTCACTCTCTGTTCTCGTTTTCTTGACTCTCCTCTGCACCTGTCTGTCTACATACAGGAGGCCCCAGGAATATCACCATTATAGTTGAAGATCCCATTGCAGGTTTGGGAGCCAGTCCTCCTCCTTTCTGTCCACCACCCCCTGCCTCCTTTTGCTCCTCTGTGACCATCTTGCTTAGTGCAGAACTTCCTTTTCCATTCTGGTGTCAATCAAGCCTGGCTAGTCTGGTCCTGTTGTGATGCTTGGACCTGGTCGTAAAATGATACCAATATTTTATGTGATATATTTTCTGCTTATGACTTCCAAATGCCTCACTCCTTCTCTCAGCAGCTTTTGGGAGGTAGAATTCTTACTAGTCAATCCTGTATTGCCTAGAGGTGAAACTGAGGCCTGCTATTTGTTAAGATACCATGATGAATCAATGGCAGAATTTTTCTTATAACTGAGTACTTATTATGACTTACTTTATTTTCCTTGAATTAACACCAGAATATGTTTTCTCCTCTTTCTGTGGTCTTGGATGTGAGTGCATGTTTTTGACTCGCCTGGACTCCCCTGTTTCCTTTTTCTTTTATTTGTCTTCCTTCTCCTGTAAATTCCACCTCCTCCAGCCCTACCCCTTCATTCCAGCGATCGAAATAGATTTTTCTAGTGACTTAAGTCTGTGTCTTTGGTTTTCACAGTGGTATTCAAACTGCATGTGTGTTCCATTCTGGGTACATAATGCATGGAGATACTGATGCTGGAATGTGTCTGCAAGGCAGAGTGCTGAGGGTGAACTGAAAATGATGAGTGGCTAAAGATACTGAGTATGTTAGCATGGCAAAGAGGTTAAAGAGAGACAAGCCTGCAAGACTTTTGTTTAGAAGAGCATTGCCCTTAAGGAGATGAGAAACTGTGAGACGACAGATTTCAAGTCATTGTGAGGAAGTTCTGAGAATTAGAGCTGATCAGTTGAATGGTCAGCATCAGGAGGTAGTGAGGTCAGTGAGCAAAGCTGGACAGCCTTTTCATATGCAGCTTCTCACACATGTCATCCTTCCCTCTGACTAGGGTTTTCCTGGTGAATGACCAGGATGCTGGTACTGGAGTGTGTGTTGTGCCCTGAGTTTGACTCGGGACCGCCGAGGTTGTCTCTGAGTCATGATTTCTCACCATGACATCACGGTGACTGCTGGTGTGTAGTGAGGAGCAGAGCCCACTGCCAAGGCCACCAGGGGAACACAGAGTTATTGTTTACCATGTAGGAGCGTTTTTTGTGAGAGGAGCAGTTGACAAATTGGCACCATCTGTCAGGGAAATGGGTTGGATGCTGCTCATTCATTCATTCTCCCAGCGTGTCCTGCTCTTTTCCCAGGCACCCACCTGCTTTTCTGCTTGCTAGTCCTTCTGTGGTGCTGGGAAATTTTGTGTTTCCCTTTGGAGAAGATCAGGTTCCATTTCCTGCGAACTGTGCCTGCTGCTGTTCCTCCCTTTTCAGTTCTCAATGTTCCTTGAAAACTTCTACCCAGACACTTCTACCTTGCAACCTTCTTTTGAAACCCCTCCCTTCCTTCTCCAGGAAGGCTGAGTCCACAGTCCTGGGGCTGAGCCCCTTGGTTATAGGGCCATCATCCTTGGCTTCTGTAGCATTGTTTTGATGCTTCTTCTGAGGGTATTGCTGGGTGTTATTTTGTTGTTCTGCCAGTTCAAAAATAGGTTAAATTTGTAAGTATGACAAATTTATATTTCAGGTTCAAGAGAGGCCATATCCTAGTATTTTTTTAGTGACTTTAATCCTTCTGATATTGTTCTAAAGTCTAGTGTCAAGGATAAGAAAAACTGCAATGTGTTTGTGAGGACTGTTTTCTAAACTGGTTTATCAAGAGGGCAGAAATTGGCTGATATTCCTGAAACACTTGGTAAGAAGATGGAAGAGGAGAGAACCGATCATGAATCCATGTTGATTTCTTTTTCGCCTTTGTGTTGCTGCCTTTCAGGTCTCGTTTGCTCTCTTTTCTCCTTAGAATACACTGACTTCCCACCTCCCTCCCTCCGTGTGGTCCTGCATTCTTGGATTGTGTCCTGTTGGTGTGCCACCTCTCTCCTGTCCGGGAGGGCGTGGGGAATGGGAGCAGTTAGATATTGAAACTCCAAGGTTGGGAATATATGTGTTGCTCACCTCGTATGTGTGTTTTTACTCCCTGGTGGCCACTGACACTAGAATCCTGCAGTGATAAGTCGAAGTTGAGAGGCCCCTTGTCCTACTCTGGTCAAAGCAGTGAAGTCAGCACACGCAGCTCTCTGTACATGGAGTATGGTAAGTGAGCACTAGGAAGGCCAGGCTGCAGTCGTGTCTTTGCTCTGCTCCCCCCGTGCCTGCCACACTCTGAGCTGTGGCTCATCTTAGCTGTGTGGAGGGCGCACACCATACAGTCTCACCCTCCTCTTCATCATTTTCAACCCCTGTGCTAGAAATCACATGGCCCCGCCATTTTTTCTTGCTCCTCTCTGCTGTAGGAGTCCCACCGTCTCATGCTGTGAGTGTTACCACCGTGAATGTCTGGTGAGCCAGCTACAGTGGCTCTCTGAGTGGGTGAGAGAGACCTTGAAAAGAGGCCTTTGAGTGTCTGAGCCTAATGACCAGAAGATAAACTCCACATTGAAATTATCCATAGGAAGAAGACATTTGTTTCCTTGTCTGACTCGCAGCACAGGTCTTTTTTTTTTTTTTTTTTTTTTTTGCCAAATTGTAGTGGGTTATAAAAATGAAAATTAAGGAGTAATAGAGGAGTAATAGAGGACTTTAAAAGAAAGAAAAAAAAAAAAGANGTACAGAGAAGTCACCATAAAGATAAGCTCAACAAGTTCTATCCTTGGATAACTCTTCAGGGAGCTTATGCTCCTCACTGAGTCCAAAAATATTACTGATCTTGCCTTAAAAGCTCCCTTGGGCATAGAAACATTGAATTTTAGTCACATGGCCTTGACCCTGGAACCTTAGATAAAGACTGTCCCTGAAATCGGCTTCTCTATTTTGTTCTAAGGCTCAGATATGTAATAAATAAAATGTCCCTGTAGCATTTTATGGGCTTCCCAGGTGATACTATTGGTAAAGAACCTGCCTGCCAGTTTAGGAAAAACTTAACCTCTCTGTCATATTTTTATGTGAAAAGTGGGACAGGAAGGCTGGGCATGGTCAGATACAAGAGCAAAGAGAACCTGGAGCAGATTTTCTGGCCATCAGCTTTCTTTCCAGTGGCAGCGTGCATTTCCCCTGGGTGTTTCGAATGAAAGCAGTGCACATCTTGGAAGTTCTTTCCAAGAGACCAGTCACTGAGGTGTCCCCTTGTTGGCACTCTCCTTCCCCAGGAGAATGCCCACTTTAGCATATCAGAGTCTTTGATCGCTGCCATCGAGCTGATGAAGTGCAACATGATGAGCCAGTGCCTAGAAGAGGAGGAAGGGGAGGAGGACAGTGACAGGGAGATCCAGGAACTGAAGCAGAAGATCCGCCTTCGTCGCCAGCAGATCCGCACCAAGAACCTGCTCCCCGGGTACCAGGAGATGGAGCATGGAAGTGAGTGAGGCTGTGAATGCCTGTTCCTACCCCTTCAGGGTTTCTGGATAAGACATGGTACCTCATGGGCTTCCTTTTCTGTCTTTATATGTTCATGTGAGATGTTATACCCAAGCCAAGGGTTCCTCTGCTGTCAGAAAGATTTCCTGTATTGTTTTGATTTTTTTTTTTCTACTAGACTGGAGTCCTGGAGTTCATCTATGTTCTTCCTCAGACATAGCTTCCAAAAAATAGGTTTCTGATATGAGGAGAACTGAGGCCACTGGTTGCAGATTCCCTTTCCAGAGAGCAGTATTTCCTGCTTATGTGAAACTTTTAAGGGGATCAAACAAGAAAGGGAAACTAGAGCTGGTTTCCATTTCCCCAGCATAACTGCCAGTTAAGCTTCTGTTCACTTTTTTATTGAAGTCCTACCAGTTTGCTTTTACTGTGACCCCAGAAAGTGTCAGACACCTCTTTCTGTGCTCTTCATTACTGTTTTTTTTTTTTTTTTTAACGTTAACAGGCTTTCGGCTCACTTCCAGCAGCTCCCAGTTCAGTTCACGTGATTCAGCACAGTTCTCTGACTCTGGCTCTGCTGATGATGAGGTTGATGAATTTGAAATCCAAGGTATGATTTAACACTTTTCAAGGGAGCTTTCATTAACTCTTTCAATTTGGATTCATAGATGAGAAGCTTTCCCTAAATAGGGAGTCTTCAGTATGGTTCTTTATGGAATGTTGTCAGCTGTTGTAAGGGATAACTTTTCTTGTTAAAAAAACAAAACCTATTTAACATTTAAGCAGAAACAAACACTGAAAGGAAGTGTTCCAGTAGAGTGGGCTGGCTGTTGATATCACCCTGGAGTTTCTTCCTCAATTTCACCTTTCTCTCAAACTCTTGCTCTAACTCCGCCTCCTAGCAGTCCAAAGCTGGCCCACACCTACATGAAATTAGAATCCTATTCTCTTGTGCCCCATAATACAAATGAAATTGTTTTGAAGTGTTTAAAAGGAGCTTTATTATAATCATAAAAGAAAAGGAAAAAAAAGAGTCCCTGGCAGGGAAAAAGCAAACTGGAGGGAAAATGTCAAGTTTTTTTTTTTTTTCAAAGTGGAGCTTTATTTTCTGTCCTACCCATGTTAATTTGCATAGCAGAATCACAGATTCTTATGAGCTTCTGCTTAGAGAAGGGGAGGGGCTCTTATCTGGAAAGACAGTTGTGTTAAATCAGGTTGACCCATGATTAGTAGGTTAAGCCATGCCTGAAAAATCATAAATTTCTTCATCTTTCTATCAGTGCAACCAACAAATGAACAAACAGAAAACCAAACAGTTCAGGGACGTAAGCTCTCACCCTATGACTGGAACCAAGAGTAATTTTCTTATAGAGGTGAATTGTGTCTGTGGATCTCCATTGTAACATGATGATGAATAGATCTTTTATTGCATGAGGCTCTGACTTCCTGTTTATACCAATTTCGAGAACCCATTCAGCTCCAGGTATGGTAGCTGGGTTTCTTCCCCATTCAGAAATACAGTTTTTACATATATTTTTCCAGGTCTTTGGGAAGTCTTCCTTCTTTTTTCTCCTTAATGCATCTGGTTTCTCTTTATAACAGTTAGTCACTTAAAACTTTTTTTTTGGTATGTGGTTTTCCAACAATTCTCCACTTCTCTATACGCCAACTGAATGGCCTACATTTCAGTTCTGACACTAACTCCTGGGGTTAACACAGAGCCCACAGATCTAGGGTTCAATCCCATGGGACAGCTCCATCTTTAGATGCTATCTGCCAGTAGGGTCACCAGGCTGCCTGTACTTCTCTGTGACCAACTGCAAACCCGAGGGTTCCTACAACTCCCCACTCAGTTTTGATAATTCAGTAGAATGACTCATAGAACTCGGAGAAGCACTCTATGATTATAGTTTATTATAAAGGATACAAATGAGTAGTCACCTGAAGGGAAGGTTCATAGGGCAAGGTCCCAAAGTGTCTTCAGCTCAGGAACCTCTGTCTCCATGGAGTCAGGGTGTGCCACTCTCCCAGTACCTCGACCTGTTCACCAACCAGGAAGCTCTCCCAAACCTCATCATTATCAAGGTTCATTAAGTAAGCATGAATGATTAAATCATTGGCCATTGGTGGCTGAGTTCCTGCTGCTGCTAAGTCACTTCAGTCGTGTCTGACTCGTGAGTTCCTGAGGTGGGGCTAAAAGTTCTAATCTTCTAATTACCTTTTTCTTCTGGCAACCAGCCCCTTCCTGAAGCTGTCTAGGTGGCCCCATGAGTCATCTGATTAACTTAAACTCAGATTTAATGGAAAAGGGCTCATTATGAATAATAGACATTCCTATCACTTAGGAAATTTCAAAGTTTCTAAGAGCTCTATGCCAGAAACTGAACAGAGACCAATATACATATATATAAATATATATATATTTAATATATATATGTATAATATGTAACAATAATAGCAGTATAATATATAACAATTTATATATATATATATAAATCCTAACTGTGGATGTAGATTTCTAAAAACAGTGTCAGCTAGCATTTGGAGCAAAAGTCAAGTCCTGATTCCAGGAACATGTGGTATAGAACTGTCATTCTCATGAATTTACTTCCTGTCTGAATACTAAAGGGCCCCCTTTTATAATCATTATTACACAGATGATAGTGAGGGATCTAACCTGACTCACATGTCAAAGAATGGACTCTCAGTGTCAGTGGCCTCGCTGTTTTCAGGTAGCCTGTGTTAGAAGCGTGGGTGTGCTCATACATGCATGTATGTGAATGTTTGCACTAGCTTTTGTACATACCTGTGACTTGTCAGTGTTATGAGAACCAAACGGTCTAGAGAACTGTCTGGAGAAAACTGAACTTAAGCCAACCAGGAATGATTCACTTCTTTTCATTTTTTAAAAATTTTTATTGGAGTATAGTTGATTTAAAAGCATTGTGTTAGTTTCTTCTGTACAGCAGAGTGAATCAGCTATACATATACATATAGCCACTCTTTTTTAGATTGTTTTCCCATACAGGTTATTACAGAATACTGAGTTCACTGTGCTGCGTGATAGGGCCTTATTAGTTACCTATTTTATATATAGTACTATATATGTGTCAGTCTCAACCTCCCAGTTACCTCTACCTCTACCCTTTTCCTCCCAGTTACCATAAGTTTGTTTTCTACATACCTGTGACTCTGTCTCTGTTTTATAAATACTTTCATTTGTACCATTTTTTCAAGTACTCCTTTTCTTCTTCCTCCTGACTCCAACAAGCCTCCTCTCTGATATGTCCTTGTTGATCCTTCTCTATAGAGATTCTTTTAGATTAATGGTCATTGTGGCTGATGGAGGTAGTGGACAATGTAGAAAGAAGTGGTCAGGTGAAGAAATTATAATTCAAACCGATAGCTAAGTTACTGACACACATTTAGACAGCAGAAGTCAGACAGAATGGTATAGAAGAAGCTTAGGGTCTTTAGAGTTTTGAATTCGCAGAGCCAACTTTCAGGAAGCTACCTCTTCTGCTACCTTGTTTACAATGAGGACTTACTGCTGCAAATGTTTGGTCTTAGTAACTGCTTTATGATTCAAACAAGTAGACTTTCTGTAGATGGGGTTAACCGAAAACAAATAGTAGTTGTCTGTTCAAAGTGGCTTTAAAACACACAAACAACAAAATTCAGGCTTTTATTAATTAATAGTTAATTATTTTATTAATTTGAAATTTTAATTAGCAGTTTAATAGTCAGCCACTTGAGTTTGAAATAACTGTATGTATAAGATTAAATTAAGATTTAGAGAAATAAAAGTAATTAGGTACCTTTTACTTCTAAACTGTTAAAATTTATTCTAACATAGTCTTACTTGAGAAGTAACAATCCTAAGTCACATTTTATTATTTTTTTGGCCACGCCTTGTGGCTTGTGGCATCTTAGTTACCTGACAGGGATGGCACTTAAGCCCCAGCAGTGAAAATTCTGAGTCCTAACCCCTGGACTGCCAGGGAATTCCCCTAACTCACTTTTAAACTGATTTCTGGGACTTCCCTGGCGGTCAAGTGGTTAAGATTTCACGTGGTTTCAATCCCTGGTTGGGGATGGTTGAGGAACTAGGACCCCACATGCTGGGTGACAAAAAGAACCAAAAATCAAACCAAAAAAAGTGGTTTCTGATATGTTTACAACCACAGTCCTTTGCATGTGCATACTGTCAGCTACTTCTTAATTAGGGCATATTCAATCTGCTTTAACCATAAAGCATACATTTATTTGGGCTTCCTAGCATCCTTTCTTCCCCCATTTTGGGCGCTTTAAAGTATTTTTTATAAACCAAGAATATGAAGTATTTTTCAACTAAAATACTAGTTTTTCTTGTGACCCACCATCCCACACATTTTGAGGGCTTGGTGGGAAAGCAAGTGTCTCCAAAGTAGTGATTTAACTTTCTACACACAGATTCCCGATTATGAAAGCATAATTTTCAGTTCATTTTTCTCTGCTCTAGGTTTCCTTATTGCTTTCTGTTCTCTCTTATTTGTTTCTGATCTGTACGCAAGTTTATCACTAGTACAAAAGTCTTTCTAAAAAGTGTCAGTATAGTTCTCATTAGCAGTCTTTCTGATCATGTCTAGAGGTTTCTTTTTGATTACGTTGGGTAATATATGCTACTGAAGGGTCTCTTTGGACTCTATCAAAGGAAGGTTACTTAAGCATCATACTGTAGACATAATCTATGATAAATACTCTGCATAATTATGATACTTTGATTAAAATGATCACTTCCTTAGATCCTATTTCAGCAAGTAGACCTTATGGAGCCAGAAGTGTTTGTGAAGGAAATAGATTTGAAAGTTACTTCTTCCTTGCAGTAAAGTGGATATAAACTTGTAATCATAGAAAGCTTAGTATTCATTAACACCTATTCCATTTTTAAAAAACAATCTTACTAAGGAATAATTACTTATCAAAATCCACTCACTTTAGGTGTACAACTCACTAAGTTTTAGTAAATGTACCAAGTTGTCAGCCACCACCGTATTCTAGTTTTAGAACATTTCCATCATCCTCAGTAAGATCCCTCTCATGCCCATTTATAGTTAATTTACCATTTATAGTTAATTTACATTTGCACCCCAAGCCCCGGTCCACCACTAATCTATCTATATAGAGTTGCCTTTTCTGGACATTTGTATAAATGCAGTCATACAGTATGTGATCTTTTGTGTCTGGCTTCTTTCACTTCATCTGTTTCTTCTGATGGTATTTGCCAAATTGATACAATATCTTTCACAGGCTCCTGATCCCAGTTAATTTTCTCAATTTCTTTGGTTTTTCGGGTTTTGTAGTTCCGTTTTTTCCTTCCTTCTTCCTTTTCCACTGCAACTTCATCAGTTCTTCTTTAATCTTCCTTTTTCTAGAATTTTTGTCTTCCACATAGATGTACCTAGTCAGGGTCCGTTCAGGAGACAGACACCACATGACAATTTGAATAGGGAAAATTTAATATAAAGAATCATTAACTCTAGTGAGCGATTGAAGTAATGGGAGACTGGCTCATAAGGAGTAAAGAGAACTTTAAAGAATACAGGAATAGCAGATATAAGCAGTAGTCACCATCTCTAGGGCCGAAGTAGAGGCCACAGGGAGGGAATGTAGAAGAGGGCCATACCCCCAAGTCTGAGGTCCAGGCCTCCTTGCTCATTGGATGGTGGAGAAGTTCTCAGAAGCTGCAGAGCTGCCCTGAGAGTGTCAAGTGATGTTGTTCATGAAAGCTGCCATGCCACCCGCCCTCACCAGGAAACCATTATCTGGGGTGCTGGGGGAGGCTGCCCCCAGGGAGTGTTGCTCCTCAGAACTCAAGGGGTGTTAGGGGAAGGGGAAGTGGTTCATGGGAGGTTCCAGGCCTGCAGCACCTGCTCTGAAGCTTTCCCAGGAGGTGCAAGGGAAGCCATTTATGGAAAATACCACCGGTGGCACTCTGCTGCACAGCCTCTGAAGCCCTGCTTACCCTGGGGAGGCACGTGCACTCTAGGAGTCTGCTTAGGGGAGCGCACCGAAGCCGCGAAGCCCCTCCCTCCTCCAGTGTTCCTCCGGCGCCCTCTGCTGGCAGAGCTTCACAGCTGGCAAAAGATGAGTGTTTTCAAGCCCAACCCCATTATCACAGAGCAGACAAAAAGAAGGGCAGGTTTGGAGCCGAGAGGCAACGAAGAAGTTCATGAACTATATTTTTGGCAAGTTTAAAAATTATATCCAATTCAAGGTAATCGGTTGCTCCTCCCCACCTTCCCTCTTTTAATAATTGTTTTTCTCCTTCTAAGACAAGAGTAATTGTGGTTGTCCGTTTTAAAGTGTTTCCTCTTCAATCAGCAGTTGCAGAAAATTCATTAGAATTGGATTTCTGAATGTTGGGTATCCCCTTATCTGCTGAAAGGAAAACAGGTTGAAACCCACCATCAGATTGGCCAGGAAATTCTGAAGTTGACTCTCTTCTTGTGCCTTGCTTGTTTTATTTAAAAATGTGCAGATTTTGCCAGGGTACAGGATTTTAAGCAGTTCTTCCCTGATCATTCCAATGCCCGTGTCTGGACATACAAAAATTCTTCTTATAACATGTCATTATTTTGTTGTTGTTTGTTTTTATATTGTTGAACTTACCCAGTCCATAATAATAGCTTTATCCTATCTAAAGCATCAGAAACCCTTGAAATCATTAAAGAATTGATCAATTCTCCTTAAATAATTGATAATTGGCCCTCAGTAATCACTGTTAGCTCTTTACTCAAGGATATCTAAGATTTTCTCTTCTTTTTCCTTTTCTATCCTAAACAGGCTGAAATTTGCTTTTTGCTTTGAGCCAATTATTTAGGAAATATTTTTTGAAAACCTATCGTGTACAAAGCTCTTTGAGGGTTTTAAGGACAAGGCAAGACTTATGTACAATCCAAGGCAGTTTAGTGTTACTCAGATCAGTGTTGCAAACCCAGTGGTCTATCAAGGTCTGCTATTACCTAGAATTTTTTTCCCTCCAATAGCACTATTTAGAGGGCTTCCTTGATAGCTCAATTGATAAAGAATCTGCCTGCAATGCAGGAGACCCTGATCCAGTTCCTGGGTCGGGAAGATCTGCTGGAGAAGGGATAGGCTACCCACTCCAGTATTCTTGGGCTTTGTTTAGAATGAAATACAGCACTATTTAGAATGGAATACAGACTAGCAGTATCTTGGGAACTGGATTTGAGTGGTGCAAATTCAGAGTATATGATATACATGAACTTACTTGTTAAATAAAATAGGATTTATTATTTACTAGTCAAAGATTTTGTTGCTGTCTTAAGTTTTTCTATGCTTAAAGAGCATATGAAAGCTGAGAGCTTTCAGTTTTCCTCTCTTGTACTTATAGCTTTGAAGCCTGGCCCTCAAGGCCAGGAATATTATTTGAGTATATGCTTGTATACAGAGCACTGTATTAAGTGTTTGGGGGCTAAACAGAAGAATTAGACATGATCTCATTTCCTCACAAGGAGATATTATAGGCTAGTGATCCATACAAATATATATGTGTACAGAGGAAACATGAAGAACAATTGAGCAACTCAAGTGCAGAGTGATGTCATTTAAGCCTGGTGCTCTATTTAGGGGCTTAAATGCAGTAGATTGGTCATTGTGTGGGTTTAATTAGGAAAAGGTCTTTTCATGAGGCATCAAAGGAAGTGAGGGATGAGACTTATCAGAACAGTCCTATTTCCATGACTTGAACAGGCTCTATCTGCCTTTCTTGAACCTGAATACTATATTTCCTTCTCTCTATTAAAATTATTTGGGTAGATGAGATCTCTAGAGATTCAATCATATCATTATTAGAAACCCTCTTCAAAATTCTTTATTGTAAATAGGCTTTGGAAAGTCTGCCTTAGATTCCCATGACTGTGTTTGCAAATTCTATAGTAAAGATCATGTTGAATAGCTCCATGAAAATGTGTTGTTTACCAGGCATCTCCAGGGAGTTGCCAAGCCATAGGGAAGTTCTTTTCTTCCCTGTGCCACCAGACAGGAAGGGAGTCTTTCCATGAAACTTTATTAAGGACATGGAAGACTTCTCACATTCAGGGATGATACCAATAGCAGTCAGATGTTAGAAGCAAAGTTTCAATTCCATGTACATTTAATGAGTAAGCTCTGTGGTCTAAATTCTGTGTTGGGTACTGATTCTGACATTAAAAAAGAGCTCGATAGAGTTCTTACTTCTGAGAGTTTATCATTTAAGAGGGCTTGAGGTTTAGACGATTAGAGAGAAATTGGAGTAATTTGTCACTGCTTATACAGAGTGTGTCCCTGCTTGCCTTAGAATGCTTCCTTTTTTCCTTCACTGCTTTGCACCAAATCAGAGTTTGTGTTTCCACCTGGATTTGTAGCCACTTTGACCTTCTCAGTGCTGTGTGTAATGTCACTAATTCAGCCTGGTGTGACTTGAACAGAGCCAAACTATAAATCGTATGTAGAGCTTCACCTGGACTCTGCTCCTTATCCTGCATAGAATGTGGCACCTTGCTGCCGCCCTGAATGCTTAGCTGGCAGTAGCTTGGACTGGTGTCCATTATTATCCTTACCTCCTCCCTTTCCATTTCCTGTCCCCCTTAACTGTTGTTTCCATTTAGATGCTGACATCAGAAGGAGCACGCCCTCCCACAGCAAATCCTTCATTTCCTCTCAGTCCTTGTAAGTAGTTTTTTCTTTTTTTTTAAATAAAACTTTGGGATATGTGGAGAGACAAACCCAGTTCTTGGCATACGGATGGGGTGGCGTCATCTGAATCCACAAAGAGGCAAGGTTAATGTGACCAGCCTGCCTGGTAGTGGTGAGCCAGGGAAAGAGAAGATTATGGGTTCAAACAGGGTAGGGTCTGGTGGAAGCAAAGCTTTCAATGTGGATTGTTCCTTCTCTGATAAGTCTGATTATATCAGAGACCCCGAGAAGATGAGGTCTCGAAAGAGAGAACAGTGATCATGATATCTGACTCTGAAATCAAATTGAACAGGTTCCCCATAGTAGACTTAGCTAGAGGAGATAAAAGCTGACATGGGAGCAACAATAGTCTTTAGAGTCCACAGAGCAGTTTGACTCTCTCAACTTTGTAAACAGGTGTTGTCATTCCCATTTTGCAGTTAAAGAAATTGAAGTTTAGGGCTTCCCTGGAGGTCCAGTGGTTAAGACTCCATGCTTCCAATGCACAGGGCATGGGTTCGATCCCTGGTCAGGAAACTTAAGATCCCACATGCTGTGTGGTGTGGCCTCCAAAAAAGAAAAGTTTAGAGAAAGGATTTGACATAGAATTCTTAAACAGCATTGTCATGAATGCTAGTAAATGGTACATGAGCCTAAGTCTTAGAACTCTGTGTGGACCATTGTGTTTTCCACTGTACACACAAGTCTGAAAATGATGAGAAAGAAAGCTCTGCGGCCTGGGGTGGCTGTGAGTGTTCTTTCAGCCCGGACATCACTGTGTAAGGTGTCGGGTCCTACAGGGAGGGCTCCCGTCCTCCTGTCTTCCCTGCTCAGAGTTCCTTGACTCTCTCCACTTCAGCTCTCACTGCCTCCTGCACTCCACGTCTGCTGAGGCTGTGGCCATGGGGCTCCTGAAGCAGTTTGAGGGGATGCAGCTCCCCGCCGCCTCGGAGCTGGAGTGGCTTGTTCCAGAGCACGATGCCCCTCAGAAGGTCGGTTCTTCAGCTCTTCTTCTCTACCCACTGCCCAGCCCCAGGAGGCTGTGAGCCTTCCTGATATTGTTCTCCTTTGTCATCCATCCACTGTTTAGCATGAATGTATGTGTTTCCTTCCTAACTCGTAGAAGCCCTTCACTGCAAATGTGTGGAATGAATAAATGAAGGCATGTGTGCATGCTTGTCTTGGGCTTCCCACAGTTACACTAGTGGTAAAGAACCCACCTGCCAATACAGAAGACATAAGAGACACAAGTTCGATCCCTGGGTTAGGAAGATCCCCTCAAGGAGGGCATGGCAACCCGCTCCAGTATTCTTACCTGGAGAATCCCATGGACAGAGGAGCCTGGCAGGCTGCAGTCCATAGGGTCTTAAAGAGTCAAGACATGACTGAAGCGACTTAATTCATGTGCATGCCTGCCTACGTGCCTGTGCATGTAGGTGGCAGCTCCTTCACTGTCGTTACCCCACATGACTGCTCACTAGACCTGGGGGCAGCACACCTGAGCTGTGACCACCTTGAGACACTGGAAGAGTATCTTAAAGAACTGAAAAAAGGTTCTTCTTTGCTCTACAGTTGAATAAGACATGAAGCACCTTGGCATACCAAGAGGCCCAGGGTGGGTTCAGGGACAGCATTAGCGAGAGGTGCCACCAACTGCGATGTTGTTTCTATTCCTTTTGATTCTTGAAACCCAAGGCCCTCACTTCTAATAGCCTGGTCCCTTATTTATTTTGAGGCCAAGTTCCCATGAAGCCCTTGCTTAGGTGTTTCTGAAAAGTCTTTCATTAATTGTGTTTCTGTCGTGGCCAGAAGGGTCAGTGTGTGTTCCCCAGACTGACCATGGAAGACCACTCTGTGCTCTTCTCCTGCAGCTCCTGCCCATCCCTGACTCACTGCCCATCTCCCCAGATGACGGGCAGCACGCTGACATCTACAAGCTGCGTATCCGCGTGCGCGGCAACCTGGAGTGGGCGCCACCCCGGCCACAGATAATTTTTAATGTTCATCCAGCCCCAACGTGAGTAGTCAGGGGCTGTGCCCTTTGGAAAACATACTTTCCCTGTGGATTGTCAGAACTGTCTCCTTACCCTCTTCTCTCTGCCTGCAGCTCTACCTCCCACACAGTTCTAAAAGACCAAAGGAGAGGATTATCCTTCTTGTCTGCAAGTTTTACTCTTAGACCTCCCATTCTTTCCCAGAGCTAACTGGAAAAGAGGTCATTTATCACTGGTCTCCCAACCTGTTGCCTCCCTCCCAATAGTTTTATGAGCTGTTTTTTTCCCCCTTCTCTTAAGATGGATGGATGCTTTGCTTTCCTTTTCTCTCCTCTTTATTTGTCATCTCTTACATTTGTACAGAAAGTGTGGTTCATTATTGGGGAGAGTCACTGCCTAGGCCTAAATTCTAACCTTGCCATCCTTGCTTTGAATTGGCTGTCCCAATAGGCTTGTTTTGTTCAACTCTTAAAAAAAAATAGGTGAATTTCCCTCCCTTCCCAGCTTCCGGGAGCCCTGTGTTTGCGTCCTCACCCTGTACGTCTCAGAGCCCTCATACAGCTGGTATCTGCCAACCCCTCTCCTTCCCCTTCCTTCAGGAGGAAAATCGCTGTGGCCAAGCAGAATTACCGCTGCGCAGGCTGCGGCATTCGGACTGATCCTGGTGAGTGTCTTCTCTGACCCTCATGCTGCCTTCAAGGACTTCATCCTCTCACACACGTGGGCAAGGGAGCTGGTCAGAGAGGCAGTTAGAGGAGGTAACAGCACAGACCTGGGGAAAGGAAAAGAAGGGGCCTGGAAGAGGGAAGGGGTAGTACCAGGCAAGAACACAGGTAATCAGAGGAAAATGGTTTCTAGAAACCCATTACTAGAGAAAATTGTGTACAGTAAGTCCCCTACGTAGAAGCCTTCGAGTTGTGAACTTTCAAAGGTGTAAACACATGTTCACATGTCCAAGCACGGAAGTTCGTGTGTCTGGTATACATTGTCACATGTGTGCATGCTCTGCAAGTGGTCTGCTTCTGGGTGCTTTACTGTTCAGTACTGTATAGAGTGAGTTTCCCTGGTGACTCAGCAGCAAAGACTCGGACTGCCAATGCAGGAGACTCGGACTCAATCCTTGGGTTGGGAAGATCCCCTAGAGAAGGGAATGGCAACTCACTCCAGTATTCTTGCCTGGGAAATCCCATGGACAGAGGAGCCTGGTGGGTAAGTGAGTGGGGTCACAAAGAGTTGGATGTGACTGAGCAACTAAAGAGCAACAACTGTATAGAGTACAGTAGTACAGTGTCTTTACTTCAAGCCCAGGATGTCCAGAAGCAAGCGTAAAAGCAGCAGTATATAGCTGATTATGTTAGTTGGATACCTTGGCTAACTTTGTTGAGCTTATGAACAAGCTGAACTTATGAATGTACTCTCAGAATGGAACTTGTTTGTATGTAGGGGACTTACTGTACTTTCAGCCAGGTTCTTAGAGACTGGATCTTCCCAATTTGGCAGCATTTGTTTCCTCAGTGGCCTCCAGTCTGGGACACAGAAACCACAGGCCTCACTGTATGGGTTTCTGCTAGCTTTGGGAACTCAGACAGAGGTGGTTGGAGTCCACTGACCAGCCCTCCCTCCTTCTAATTCAAAAGAAACAGCAAGGCTACCTCACCAGCTTTTAGTTGGGAAAGCCACCTCTAACCTTTTGACCTTCTGTTATTTTTTTCAGATTACATCAAGCGGCTACGGTACTGTGAGTACTTGGGCAAGTACTTCTGTCAGTGCTGCCACGAGAATGCCCAGATGGTTATCCCCAGCCGCATTCTGCGCAAGTGGGATTTCAGCAAGTACTACGTCAGCAATTTCTCCAAGGACCTGCTCATTAAGATCTGGAATGACCCTCTCTTCAATGTGCAGGACATCAACAGTGCCCTCTATAGGAAGGTCAAGCTGCTCAATCACGTCCGGGTAAGACCCTCGGAAAGGTCACAGCACAGATTACCCTCTGTTCTTAGAGGTTTCCCAAGATCACCACAATCCTCTCTGTTGCCATGCAGAGCTGTAACCATCTTATCATTCTCGCTCTCTCTATGCACTTTCTCTTGCCATCTCCAAAGCGTCTAGTTAGTCTCAAACCTGGCAAGGCAGCTCTAGAGTTATAGATAGCACTTGATGGCAAAAGCAGGATTTCTCCCCTTCACTGAAAATATCAAGTGAACAGAGAAGAGGGTATCAGGCCAAAAAGTTTGGATTCTGGATTTTTCAGCGGCTCCCAGCTATGTATGTGATTTGGGCAGACCTAGCAGAGGGCCTTCCCTGACTGGGGGTCACTTTGAGCATATTGTTGAGCATATAGAGAAAGTCCCGGCTTTGGTTACTGCATGCAAGCCTTCTAGACCTTCAGGGTTTAAAGGCACTTTCTTTCTAATGGTTGTTTCCCTCTCTTTCATGCCCCCTCCAACACCCACCCTCACAACACCCTTCTCTTCAGTTGCTGCGAATCCAGCTCTATCACATGAAGAACATGTTCAAGACCTGCCGACTGGCCAAAGAGTAAGTCTTGATGGAGGCCACAGCCCTCTGGGTCAGTCAGTGTCTCTGGAAGAAACGTGTTCCAGCAGTTGGCCCTTGTTATGTGAAGCAGGATAGTAGGGGGATCATGCAGAAAATTCTAGAAATAGTAAACTAAGAAGCTTAGAGCAGTAACTGTGTATCCTTCGATCTGGAAGGGGAACTCTGGTTATTTCATCCAGGGTCAGCCCACCACTCTTGGCAAGCTGACCTGAGTCACTCTGCAGAAGGGTGTAGAAGTCACTTCACCCTCCAGATGCCTGGTTGTGGGGAGGGTTGGGGTAGCCTGGGTGGGCTGGGTGTTACCCACCCTTATTATCTCTAGGACCCTTCTCATCCCTAACCAGCTTCTGGATAGAAATCCTTCTTCTCTGATGGGCCACACAGAGCATTCATTCTCTGCTTCTGCCCACTTCCCCTCATTTTCTTCAGGCTTCTGGATGCCTTTGACACCGTTCCAGGCCACCTGACGGAGGATCTCCACCTGTACTCGTTGAATGACCTGACTGCCACCAGGAAGGGGGAGCTGGGGCCCCGGCTTGCTGAGCTCACCAGGGCGGGGGCTGCCCATGTAGAGCGATGTGTGGTAAGAAACTCTTGCTCTAGTATGCCACAGGGCCCTTGCTTACGGATGTGAAGAGGAGCATGGGTCCAGGGTTCATGCTGTTGAGTTCCAGGAATTGAGTTGGCCTGTTAACACTGTGAGAGAAACTGCACAGGCTTGCTCTCCCCTGGGTTGATAAACAGCTAAATCATCCAGATCTAAGGAATCTAGAATTAGAAGAGGATGTGGTGTTGGCATTTCTCCTGGGAAACGGGCAGGACTAAGTGGGTCTTCACTAAAGAGCTGCCATGATGTGGAAGGAGGACCCTGATTAGACTTGGAGAAGGACAGGGTCTTAGCTGAGCATTTTTAGTCACTATGACCACAGAAAATACCACGGGAAGATCCCCTGGAGAAGGGAATGGCAATTCACTCCAGTATTCTTGCCTGGAGAATGCCATGAGCAGAGGAGCCTGGTGGGCTGCAGTCCATGGGGTGGCAAGAATCGGACACAACTTAGCAACTAAACCACCACCACCACCACTGTGTAAACTTAAATATTCTGTAGATGCAAGTTATTATTGTTCCTGATCTATCCAACATACCAGAAATTCCATTTTTAGAATTCCCTGTCTTAGACTATGTCCAGGCTGTGTTCCTGTGTCCCAGAATTAGAGCTTAAAATGGGGCACATGTAGAGCTCCTGTGTATCAGGGGAAATTGGAAAGACTTCACTATAATGTGGCCCGAGACTGGATATTATTTTGGAAAACTGTCCTCGCCTTAACAGTTCATCTTAATTGGTTGTGGTTCCCATTTCAAAATAAAATCATTACCCACACTGAAACTTTTACTTTAAGAAGCCCTTTGTGGCCCCATTCCTTCCTTCTTGTCATCTCTTTTGAGAACCACTCTTGTGACTGGAGTTTCTCAAACTTGTGCCTTTCTTGTCTCCATCTTAAAACTTGGTCCAACACTGCCCAGCCTGGGCCCAGTTTGGCTGTCATGCTAAGTCTGATGTGAAGAGGAGCATGGGTCCAGGGTTCATGCTGTTGAGTTCCAGGAATTGAGTTGGCCTGTTAACACTGTGAGAGAAACTGCACAGGCTTGCTCTCCCCTGGGTTGATAAACAGCTAAATCATCCAGATCTAAGGAATCTAGAATTAGAAGAGGATGTGGTGTTGGCATTTCTCCTGGGAAACGGGCAGGACTAAGTGGGTCTTCACTAAAGAGCTGCCATGATGTGGAAGGAGGACCCTGATTAGACTTGGAGAAGGACAGGGTCTTAGCTGAGCATTTTCAGTCACTATGACCACAGAAAATACCACGGGAAGATCCCCTGGAGAAGGGAATGGCAATTCACTCCAGTATTCTTGCCTGGAGAATGCCATGAGCAGAGGAGCCTGGTGGGCTGCAGTCCATGGGGTGGCAAGAATCGGACACAACTTAGCAACTAAACCACCACCACCACCACTGTGTAAACTTAAATATTCTGTAGATGCAAGTTATTATTGTTCCTGATCTATCCAACATACCAGAAATTCCATTTTTAGAATTCCCTGTCTTAGACTATGTCCAGGCTGTGTTCCTGTGTCCCAGAATTAGAGCTTAAAATGGGGCACATGTAGAGCTCCTGTGTATCAGGGGAAATTGGAAAGACTTCACTATAATGTGGCCCGAGACTGGATATTATTTTGGAAAACTGTCCTCGCCTTAACAGTTCATCTTAATTGGTTGTGGTTCCCATTTCAAAATAAAATCATTACCCACACTGAAACTTTTACTTTAAGAAGCCCTTTGTGGCCCCATTCCTTCCTTCTTGTCATCTCTTTTGAGAACCACTCTTGTGACTGGAGTTTCTCAAACTTGTGCCTTTCTTGTCTCCATCTTAAAACTTGGTCCAACACTGCCCAGCCTGGGCCCAGTTTGGCTGTCATGCTAAGTCTAGCTCCAGTCTCTTTCCTGAAGGTGGGAGAACACTTTGGAGCCCCTTGCGCATGTATGCTCAGTTGCTCCAGTCATATTCAACTCTTTGAGACCCCATGGGATTTTCCCAGCAAGAATACTAGAGTGGGTTGCCATGCCCTCCTCCAGGGGACCTTCCCGACCCAGGCATTGCACCCGTTTCTCCTGTGTCTCCTGCACTGCAGGTGGATTCTTTACCACTGAGCCACCGGGGAAGCCCTTGGAGCCCCTCAAGTCTTTATATTTTGCTCCTCACCCCGCTTGTATTCACCCTCTTGGCCAGTTCCTGGTGAATTTTGCCTCCTTTTGCTGCCTGTTTGTTTCTTTCCTAGCTCTGCCAAGCCAAGGGCTTCATCTGTGAGTTCTGCCAGAATGAGGATGACATCATCTTCCCCTTTGAGCTCCACAAGTGCCGGATCTGTGAAGGTGAGAGCTGGTGCCCAGCATGGGGTCGGCCATCAAGATAGAGCACAGGGCTTATTCATTTCCCGTCAGCTGCCCCTATTAACAGAAGCTGGGTTTGGTTCAGCAGCGCCCTGTGTCTCACCACAGGTACACTAAGCCATGGTGGTGAGAAGAGTCCTGGCAGTGACTTGCTTCCAGCCTGAGATGACACAGATTGTTCTTTTCTCTCTCCCCTTCCCAACCTGAACAGAGTGTAAAGCGTGCTACCATAAAACTTGCTTCAAGTCTGGGAGCTGTCCCCGCTGTGAGCGGCTGCAGGCCCGGAGGGAGCTGCTGGCCAAGCAGAGCCTGGAGTCCTACATGTCAGACTATGAGGAGGAACCCACTGAGGCCTTGGCCCTGGAGGCCACCGACCTGGAGACCACCTGAGAAAGCACCAAACGTGCTCTTTCTAGGGACGAGGGTCACATAGTGCGGAACTGAGCCACCCTCCTAAGGACTTTCCCCACTTGGTTTTATTTTTTTTTTAACTATTATCTTCATTATTAATTTTTATGACCTGTCTAATGTCCATATATTCAACCTTACATAGGTTGGTGGGGTCCAGTCTATTGTGACAATTTGCAGGTACCAAGCATTTCCATCAGAACTGACACATGGGTCCCTAAGTGAAGCTTCCAGTGCCTCTGTTAGGGGAGTGGACAGTGAGACCCAGTTCTTTCGATACCCATGGCCTTCTCCACTTGGACCAGATCTGGTTTCAGCTGCATCTCAAGAATCATTTCCAGTTTTATTTTGCTTTAATTTTGGAGCTTCTGAGCCAGGCCTTTCTCAGCGAACTCACTTCTCCTTTGCTGCTGAAACAGGAGGGTGGAGTTTTCTCTCTTCCAGTCCTGGAACAGGGTCAGACCCTGAGGAGAAGCATCAGAGAATGGGACTGCGTCATGGGCATTCTTATGTAGGTGCTTCTGAGGCCATAAAAACAGTGTTACTGCTACCTTGGACTCTTCAGACACCTCAAAGAGGCGGTCATAACTTTCTTGTATTGTAAGAGGCAGTCATAACTTTCTTGTATTGTAGGCATAGATGATATCACAGGCTGACTTTCTCTATCTACCCTGGGAGACTTGACACCAAGACCAGAATTGATGCTTAGACCAGGACTATTTCAAGCATAAGTGAGGCCACAACTGTTGTATAAGGAGCATTTGTTCAGGCAGAGGAGCTGTTGGCTTCCTCTTGGGTGATAAGGTCCCTTTTAGCCAACATAGCTCTGGTGCAGGTTTGACCTTTCAAGCTCAGACAAGTCCCTGGTGCCATCTTAAATTGAGGACAGAAGCCCCATCCAGCATCTCATCCGTGGGTCTCTTGCCACTGTGTCCTCTGTTAGGAGGTCACTGCAGTTCTGAGCAGAAGCCTGGCCCAACTCTGTGCTCTTCCTTCCCTCCTGCAGTGGGGCTGGGACCCTCCCCAGTGGCTCCTGGCTTAGTTTCTTACGTCAAAGTTGAGGTGAAAGCTTCCTGCTATTAGTGGTGTTAAAAGACTTGATAGTTTGTGGCTGTGAGCATGAATGTTCCTGTGTTCTTATGATAACAAGAACCTTTATGCCAATTATGCACTTAACTCTTTAGCCTGGTGATGGTAGTATATGCAGTCATCCTTATTACTAATTTTAACACACAACCACACCCTTTTTTAATGTGTGTTTTGATGGGAAAAGTTTTTGAAGGGACCATATATATGTTTGTGGTATTCTTTAAGTTGCTGTAGCTCCTGACCTGTATGTAAGGCACTGGTCAGGGTCACAGCTCCAAGGGTCGGCAGCTCTGTGAACTAAAGCCCACAGCATTTTAGTTCTGGGACTGACTTCTTCCTGGGTACCTGTCTTTCCATAGTTGGTTGCTAGTAGGAAAAAAAAACCTGCTGTGGGCGCTGCCCCAGGAAGCTGAACAGAAAGTTGCACGTGGTTGGTGGAAGCTGCTGTGTGTCTGAGTTGGAGGCAACCAGGAATGTCACTGGAAGTAGTAGGGGCAATAAAGTAAGAGAGCTGAGGCTCCACCAGGACAGGAGGGAGTGGGAAGAAGCTGATGTCTGGCGTTCGTCCCTCTGCCTCAGACTTGGGATCTGAAGGCCACGTCAGGCTGGAAGACCCTGAGGCTGTTCTCCCTTCAGTTCATGGCAGGGGCAAAGGGGCTGTGAAAGCCAAGGCCTCCAGCCCAGCCCAGTGTTGAAGGGCAGACTAGAAATTCCCTGGTCCATCAAGGAGCTTCGGAGTGACCTTGTGAAACTCTAGTCTCGCTGAGAATTAGGCCTCAGATTCAGACTAAGGTGTTTGTGAAGATGGTGAGCTCTACTTCCAGTTCTGGTTTAAATAAAAAATCCAGCTCCTTACTCCAAGTCACTACACTGGAGGAGAGATGTCCTCTCGTTACTGTCGTATGTGTTTCATGTAGCATAGGATGAAAGGATGGAAGATGCTGACACTTTCTAAAGCTGAGCTCAGCAATCTCACGTGCTCCTGGGTTTTCACTTTTTTTTTTCCTCCAGCTCCCCAACCCCATCCCTCTAAGTTGCCTATCTGTTTTAGTGACCCTGACATTGCTCTCCTCACTGTCCAGATACCCATTTATTTATTTATTTGAGAGTTGGGGGAGAGAGGAAAGAGGATGGGGTGTTTTGAAAGCACTTTGCAACATATCAGTATCTGAAAATCCCCGCTGTTGTGGGGAGAAGCTTTGAATGCACTGCAGAGAGTTCCTTCTGAGAGAAATAGGAGGGAAGACGTGTTCTTTTCTATAAATAAAGGGAAAAAAAGTTTGCTTGCAAGGTGGAGACAAGATTCAAGGCATAGCAGAAGAGTGGAAGGCAGATATTTTCCACTTAAATGAGGCTGTTATTAATTCTCTCTACCAAGGCTTTAGCGCTTTTGTTGAATTCACATAAAAGGAGCAAGAGTCTAAATAGAGATGTGCTCATGTGTGTACAACTCGTGTTCCAAACTGAGTTTCTACTTGCTGTAATTCATACACAGCCTAACATTTCATTGTCATCTTTAATAAACTAAGGAAATGAAATTCTGCTTTTTATTTGCCTATTTTGACTATCAGGAAATGGTATTGAGTGTCCACTGTAAAGTGGACATGTCGGAAAATTCAGGAAATTTCTGTTATGATGCAAAGAAAACTGGACCTTACAAGTTAGGAAAAGTGGGTTGGAATGCTTTGTCACTGATTAGCCACGTAACCTTGAGCAGAACAATTCACCATCCTAGATGTCTATGTCTTTGTGTATAAAGTAGTTTGTAGCACTTTACAATGCATGGGGTGTGCCCGCTACTGGTCCCCTTGGTATAACGGCCCCTTGATTCGAAGTAAATCTTCCTCTCCACAGTCTTGAGTTGTCTTAGGTGCTTCAGTCCCCACTTCTGTGAACAACCCTCTCTGAGTTTCTCTTTCATGCTCCTGGCCTGTTGGAGCTCCAGTTATACCCTGCAGCTTTTGTGAACATTTCCCCTTCCGTGTCCTTTGGTCAGCTCCAGCCAGTATGTCTAAAGCCAATGTAAATATCATATTTCCTCAAACTAACCGTTAGTCACCCTGGTTTGAAAATTAATTTCCTCCTCTCTGAGTCAGGTGGCATTTCTCAGTAGGAAAGCAGTGTCTCCTCACCACCTGTTGTCACATTGTGGTGATTTTTCTCTTTAAAATAAATCTCGTTCCTTTTCTACCACTAGCACACAAATTCAGGTTCTTATCTTAAATCTCAACCCTTATCCAGCCATGCCAGCCTCTCCCTATTTAATCATCCATCAAATATTTGGGTACCTACTGCTTCCTGGTTTCTGTATTGGGTTCAGGGGTTATCACAGGGACTGAAACAGACATAGGCCATCCCTCTTCAGGCACTTCGAGTCTTGTCGGGGAGACAGACATTGCCCAGAGTTACCAAAATGAATGTGTAATTATGAGCTGTAATAAATAAGAGCTGTGAAGAAAAAGGGTAGATGCTGTTAAAAAAAAAAATAACAAGGGGACCTCATTTAGACTGGCAAGAACTAAGGCCCCTGAGAAGGTGATGCTTTAACCAAGACCCCCAAAATGAGACTCAAGAGTAGGGAGAAAAGGGCTCCAGACTGGGACTAGCATATATGATGGTCCTAAGATAGAAGAAGTTTGGGCAAGAAACTTCAAAAAGGACCTACTATGAATTTCAGGTTTTATTGTATTGGGCACCAAAGATTTAAAATTTTATTCTAAGAACATTGGAAAGTTACTGAAGAGTTTCAGTCAGAGGAGTGACTGATCTGGTTAAAAATATCAGAGTCCACTTTTGCAGAAAATAGAGCAAAACAAGAGCAGAAGCTGTGGATATCCCAGGGAGATGGGAGAGAAGGAAATATTCCAGTCTAGACTGGAATATGACATAACATTGTCACTGTCATCTCACCAAACCCTCTAAAAAACAAGATAGATTCTAAATGCTTTGTTTTCACTCTGACATTTTGAAATAGGGAGTAAAAACTGGGGGTGGGTGATGTGGATAGGGCAAGATATTAGAAAAATATTGGTATACATTACAGAATCCAAGGAAAATTAGCAACCAAGACTAGAAAGGGTAGAGACCGGAGCAGCTCTGGAACCTCAAATGCAGGATTTGCAGACCCCTTGAGCCTGTGTTGGGGACTCCCTATTGAGGATTGGGGGTGTACCACAAAGGGGAACTGTGAGCCAGGCAGTCATCCTTTGTGGCACTATGTTATGCATCATTTTCTGTGGCCCCAAATGTGTGTAGGTTTACTTTACCCTCTAATGGTATAAAGAGAGGGCTTAATTTTTATAGCACCCTGGTTAAAGCGAGACCCAGCCCAACTTCCTTTTTCCTTGGAACGTTTGACTTAGAGGATGGGAGCAATGGATCACCATGCCCACCATATCCTGCTGGCTCTTCTGCCAGTGTCCTCTCCCACTTCTAATCTCCAGGGTATCAAGCTGCTTATAAAACTTTAGTGAAGCAGCTGCCAGGTGGCCCAGGCATTCCCATTGTGAGCTTGATGTTCCTGGGATCAAAGATGAATGTGATTAAAAAGGAAAGAGAATCTACTTAGAGCTACTATTCTAGGAGCGTGGAGAACACAAGGGTGTGCTTTATTTTTCACAGAACTAGAACAAATAATTTCACAATTTGTATGGAAATACAAAAAACCTTCGAATAGCCAAAGTAATCTTGCAAAAGAAGAATGGAACTGGAGGAATCAACCTGCCTGACTTCAGACTATACTACAAAGCCACAGTCATCAAGACAGTATGGTACTGGCACAAAGACAGAAATATAGATCAATGGAACAGAATAGAAAGCCCAGAGATAAATCCACGAACCTATGGTCACCTTATCTTCGACAAAGGAGGCAAGGATATACAATGGAAAAAAGACAACCTCTTTAACAAGTGGTGCTGGGAAAACTGGTCAACCACCTGTAAAAGAATGAAACTAGAACACTTTCTAACACCATACACAAAAATAAACTCAAAATGGATTAAAGATCTAAATGTAAGACCAGAAACTATAAAACTCCTAGAGGAGAACATAGGCAAAACACTCTCCGACATAAATCACAGCAGGATCCTCTATGACCCACATCCCAGAATTTTAGAAATAAAAGCAAAAATAAACAAATGGGACCTAATGAAACTTAAAAGCTTTTGCACAACAAAGGAAACTATAAGCAAGGTGAAAAGACAGCCCTCAGATTGGGAGAAAATAATAGCAAACGAAGCAACAGACAAAGGATTAATCTCAAAAATATACAAGCAACTCCTCCAGCTCAACTCCAGAAAAATAAATGACCCAATCAAAAAATGGGCCAAAGAACTAAACAGACATTTCTCCAAGGAAGACATACAGATGGCTAACAAACACATGAAAAGATGCTCAACATCACTCATTATCAGAGAAATGCAAATCAAAACCACAATGAGGTACCATTACACGCCAGTCAGGATGGCTGCTATCCAAAAGTCTACAAGCAATAAATGCTGGAGAGGGTGTGGAGAAAAGGGAACCCTCTTACACTGTTGGTGGGAATGCAAATTAGTACAGCCACTATGGAAAACAGTGTGGAGATTTCTTAAAAAGCTGGAAATAGAACTGCCATATGACCCAGCAATCCCACTTCTGGGCATACACACCGAGGAAACCAGATCTGAAAGAGACACGTGCACCCCAATGTTCATCGCAGCACTGTTTATAATAGCCAGGACATGGAAGCAACCTAGATGCCCATCAGCAGACGAATGGATGAGGAAGCTGTGGTACATATACACCATGGAATATTACTCAGCCATTAAAAAGAATTCATTTGAATCAGTTCTAATGAGATGGATGAAACTGGAGCCCATTATACAGAGCGAAGTAAGCCAGAAAGATAAAGACCATTACAGTATACTAACACATATATATGGAATTTAGAAAGATGGTAACGATAACCCTATATGCAAAACAGAAAAAGAGACTCAGATGTATAGAACAGACTTGTGGACTCTGGGAGAAGGCGAGGGTGGGATGTTTCAAGAGAACAGCATCGAAACATGTATATTATCTAGGGTGAAACAGATCACCAGCCCAGGTTGGGTGCATGAGACAAGTGCTCGGGCCTGGTGCACTGGGAAGACCCAGAGGGATCGGGTGGAGAGGGAGGTGGGAGGGGGGATCGGGATGGGGAATACATGTAAATCCATGGCTGATTCATGTCAATGTATGACCAAAAACCACTACAATATTGTAAAGTAATTAGCCTCCAACTAATAAAAATAAATGGAAAAAAAAAAAAAAAAGAATCCGAAGAAAGAAATTCAGCCCAGACGCCAACAATAGATCTCTCCACACCAAGGTCTGAAAGAAAAGTTGTGTATGTTTCCCTTAACCACTGGAAGCCCTTAGCCACTGAGCTCACCAAAAGAAAGTTCTGACAACGCAAAAGCAGAAATGAAGCCTGCAGAGGGGAAAGGGAATGATAGAGCCCCCACCCCCGCCTTTCTTTCCCTCCCTCGCTCGCTCTCTCTTTCTTGGTTACTTAATAATATTTAAATGTACTTTTCTAATACATTCACATGATTAAAATCCACAGAAAAGAATACAGTGAAATCTCCCCCATTTATGTAGCTATGTGTCCAGTTTCTGCCTCATCCCATTGATGTGACTTTTATTTTTATCCATAGTTTCTTTATGCAAACACAAGCAAATTATACATATATATGTAATTATATATATAAAATTCTTCACACTTCTTTTAAAACTAGTATACTGTATACAAATTTCTGTGCCTTGTTTTTTTCTCCCCCTAATAGTGTACCTTAGAGAATTTCCTACATCACTACAACAAAAGTTTTTTATTCTTTTTTTTAGCATCCATTGGGGTCACGACTGAGCAACTTTCACTCACTCACTCATACATTTTCCATTGTATGAGTGGAATATAATTGATTCAACCATTTATCTATTGAGAGACATTTAAGTTGTTTTCAATCTTTTATTAATACAAATGATGCTGCCATGAAAACCTGGTCCTGTGTCATTCACATGGGTGCAGGCATATCTGTCAGGTAAATTCTCCAAAGAGGAATGACTGGCACAAAAGATTTGTGCATTTGTAATTTTGATAAATATTGCCAATTGCCCTCCATGGTGGGAATAAGGAGATTGGAGCAGTGGGAAGAAAGAAAGCATTACTGTGGGGTCTTATTCCCCTACCTAAAACTCACCAACAGCTCTCTCCCCACAAGGTAAAGTTTGGTTTCTTCTGCTGGCACATAAAGGACCTTTAATCCATGACCACACTTCAGCTTCGTAGCCTGAGCTCCTGCCATTCCCTGAACTATTAGCTGTTTCCAAAATACACTTTCATCTGTCCTCTATTGAGAGCTCACTCAGCCGCATCACAGTGTCCCCTGCCTGCATGCTACTCTACCCACCCACTGTGAGCCCTTGGCACTTTCTTTCAACCTCCTGTTAGAGCACTTGTCACACAATGTTGTTATTTAGTACTTTTCCAAATAGAACAAATAAACAAGTAACTGAA